TTCGGACGCTATTTCTAATCTGCTTTCCATATCTGCTGAACGATTCTTTGAGCAGAGGTATGCAGGAGCTTGTTGTTCGGAGCACAGTAGAGCTTGGTATACAAATAAGACGTGAGTCGCCAGGCGGTGTGCATCGATAGCCTAGTGGGTAGTAGGCCAGACTCAAGTATACGAGGTCAGAGGTTCAGGTCCTTGATAGACGTGCTCTTTTGCATTGTTTCAGCAGTGCTCTCTGGAAGTTTTTAACATAGCCTAGCATTATCAGGGAACCTTGTCATGCCATGAATAGGGCTTTTTGGAAAACTGAATCATTCTCGCCTGTGAACACTTCTGATGATTTATTTCGCTCATATAGTGGGTACAAACAAGTTTTGTGATTCAAGAACATGTGATAATCCAGAACAAAGTGTTGGAAGCAAAGAAGTTTCTCGCAATGGGAACACCGGATAACAAAATTTCCTTGCATTCTGCTGTGTTACAGGGTTCTATGACATTTGGAGGGAATGCATATTGAGCAGGCGTTTCAAATTCAAAAGGGTTCGGGTCCTTCCTGGAGTTGTGGTTTTGCATTTTCTCAAAAATGCTCCCTGCACATCCTAAAACCACTTTTGCGAGGTTAGGAGACCTGATCTTACCAAAAAAATGTTGTTTCTGAAGGAATGGAGCCATTTTGGAACACTCCTGAAGGATAACTTTGATTGTTGGTTTCGGCGGCATTATTCGTTACGTTGTGTTGTGCCACCAAACTTATTCCAAATGGCATGGAAGCCAGAAGTGAATGTGATCAGGGCCGCCAGTAACCAATAATGACTGAGATTCAGCGGAAAAGTTGTATGGCTCCCAGAGATTTTGATCGGCGATAGTGCCAGCGACCTTAAGGAATCCGTTGCCCATGGTTACCCCACGGTATCGAAAATAGGTCGAAATATCAGATTTGGTTGAAAACTTGCCTCTATGGCTAATTTGAGCCCCAGAACACGAATAGCGCACTTGCTCATCGTAAAAACGCTCGCCAAGGGAGTTGCAGGTCCTGCACAACCTGCCCCTCCAGAATGTGAACAAGACATTTTTATGAAAATTACCCGCAGTGATGATTTCCAGAGCACCAGACCACCTCTAATTCCAGATTTTAGCAAATTTGGGGGTTTTGGTGTGCCTTACATACATGCTGGAAGGTGTGAGCTGGTTAAAGTTCCTGCATATCTCTGCTCAAAGAACCGCTCAGCAGAATGGAAAGCAGATTTGAAATCAGCGTCCGGAGACGCATCAGCGAGTATACATCTCGTTTTAAATGACGACCCTTCGACCACCCGTACATTCCCTGTAACATGGTAGATCTATGCTGGAACATTCCAGCATAGATCTACCATGTCCCCGCTTCCTTGTGCGAAATAAACCCAAATGGTAAACTCCACAGTGTAGAGATTTATGCGAGTTATAGAAGCATGGAAGGCCCTAGCCCATGTGGTGGGTTGGCTCACACACTTTCTGAACAAGGTAACGGCTGAAGGAAGGATGCCGGATGCATGGAGGAGCAGCACAATCGTCCGCATCTTCAAATAGAAAGGGGACGCGACGGAGTGCTCCAACTAGTGCGGCATCAAGTTAACTCCCCATACCATGAAGTGTACGAGCGCCTGGTCAACACTAGGCTGAGGGAACTTGTCCCTATCTCACAGGAACAGTTCGGCTTCGTGCCCGAGAGGTCCACCACCGATGCCATCTTCATCGCCAGACAGCTGATGGAGAAGTACCGAGAGAACCTGCAACTCTGCAACCTAGCTTTCCTGGACCTTGAGAAGGCATACGACCGCCTGCCTTGGCCTGTACTATGGAGAGCGCTCAGAAAACGTAACGCTCCGGAGCACCTAGTTTCTATAGTGAAGGATATGTACGATAGGGCTAAAGCAGCCGTACGCACCCCTCACGGCTTGACAAAGGAGGGAAACGTTACGGTTGGGGTGCACCAAGGATCAGCCTACAGCCCGTTCCTCTTCCTTCTAACTCTGGGTTTCATGGCAAAAGAACTGGTTGAGGGGCCACTGAAAACCATACTCTACGCTGACGACATCGCCCTGATAACGAACAGTAGGGACGAACTCCAGGACAAGGTGCAGCGGTGGCGAGATGTGGTCGCTGAGAATGGACCCTGGCTGAACGTAAAGAAGATCAAATTTCTAAGCTACGAAGAGTGTAACAAACCCATCGTAGAATTCCATGGCGAAAGCATCGAAAGAGTCGAGGATTTCCAGTACTTGGGGAACGACCTAGTAGCTAATGGCAGCGTGGACCAGGCCGTGGAGCAAGGTCCGAATCATCATCATCTAAGCCTGGATGAAATGAAGGGAATCCACTGGCATCCTGTGCGACCGGCGGTGCTCGAGAACGTTCAAGGGCAAGGTGTACTGGGCAGTGGTAAGGCCCACAATGCTCTACGGCGATGAGTGCTGGCCCAACTGCGGGAACCATGAAAGGCAGCTCCACTCAGCTGAAACGAGGATGCTGAGATGGGCCTGCGGTTCGATAAGACTCGACAGAGTCAGAAACGAGGATGTTAGGGCGGTCACACAGACGGCTCCGGTCCAGCTGAAACCACGAGAGCAGCGACTTCGATGGTATGGGGGCGTAATGAGGAGGCCTGAAGACCAATAAGGAAGGCATTGGAATTCGAACAAGTGACCACAACGAGCCCCCTAGAAAAGATGGAGGGACGTCATCAAGTACTCCCCTCCCCCCAAGGAGGCGGAGGTGGCCCAGTGGTATAGTGATAAATGGCACGCTTACAACGCACTCAATCCAGGGGACGCACACCTGCCCAGCAGGCCAGTCAAGCCTTCGACCCTCTCGAGAGGGTACATTGGTATCAGATTCGTCTGGGGAGTACTTGATGACGAGCAGGAGGAGCATTGATTCATACATCGTCCGGCCCCGCGCTGTATAGGCAAGTCATTGTATAATCCACATCGCATTCGGTAAGTCACTAAAATTCTGAATGGATAGAATGCTAGAATGCGTGCCACATCCTAAAACGGGATTCATCAACGGCGAAGGTTCCATCCGTTTCTCCCCACGAAGATGGTCTGACCTTGCGGATAGTTGTGAATATAACACCGTTTGGCGCAAAACCGCTACAAACACTATGAACCAACATTTTTGCTCAGATCTTGTCTCAGTTTGACTCCTTAAAGGCACACGGTACGACCACACACAGTTTGGGTGTGCGTGACTATCAGTCCCCCAGCTGTCAAAGCGTAGCGGTTTCCCCGTCCGAACATGCGCAGGAGTGGAGATTCGAGACTGGAGCACGCTAATTCCTCCATGCTCTGCCTAAAATGCAAATTGCGGCGCAGACTCCCGGTCCCGCTCAGCACGTGTTGCGCGCAGTGCTTCTGGCTCTTTGACAAGTCGTCTAATTGCGCTTATAATGCAATTAAACGAGAACTTCTATGCGGATGACTTTTGAGGTGTTGCTCATACTGCAAAATCCGAAACGAAGACGATCTCGTGGGCCAGAACTAGAGAGCAACTGTGCTGCTTCTGCAGCCTCCCTCGTAGGCCACGCATTCCCACAAAACATGAAAAAAGCGGCCTTAGTGTTCCATATTTTTATTACTTTGAACGGAGTCGCGCCGAGTTGCAAAAAATTACGCGGAATTTTGATTAACTTACATTTCCTTAAAGTTTCTATTCTCATTTTATTTACATCGACATTCGTTGCTCTTCAGTTCTAGCCTTTGTCATCTTCGTCATCTTCGATTCGGACTTTGCGTCATGAGCAACACCTGGAATCTTATCCGCATCAGGAGTTTGCGTTTTAATTGTGTTTGCGCCGCAAAATATGTTGGGCGGATCGTGGAGGAATGAGCGTGTTTCACGATCCTGTATCTCCATTCCTGCGCATGTTAGGACGGGGGGGGGGACCTACGCTTCGACAGCTGGGGGGTGATAGTCACGCATACTAAATTATGTGTGATCGTACCATGTATCTTGCAGCGGACGATAGTAACATCTTCACTCATCCATGTAGAGCTAGTGCTGCCGAATGGGCTCATTGTGCTCAAAAAAGCACGAAGATTATATTAAAACTCGTCAAGGGTTTTCATTTGGAAGTGTGATCATCTAGAAGGCGGCCTTCGGCAGCGCTCATACTTTGCGACAGCAGCGGCGATCGTGGCGATCCCCGATCCTTGCAATCGTCGGTACGTGGCAGAGCGCGCCCCAGCGCTATTATGGACCGCTCGCTTGATAAGTAAGGAAATCAAAGATGTGAGACCTTTTTTCTCTTAATGGTGGCTACTAGCCGATAACGACTTCCTATACATAAGCGGATCTGGAATATGAGGTAAGGAGGTTTCACTTTTTTAGGTCGGGATAAGAGCAACTCCATTTCCTGGGTGAGCTTCCTTTCAGAGAGTTTCTCGATGCTGCGACGCGACCACAGTGAGAGAAATCGTCGATCTTGTTTCCAAATTAACGTCACTCATAGGATTTTTGGTTTGTAGATGATGTTCTAGAGAGTAGCTATTTTATTCACACGTGGACGGACCTTTCCATGGAGAACGGAGTGGTTCAAAGTTTCCCGAAAAATTCAGCACATGAATCACTTGATGTTCACGTTTTTCGGAGCCTCATGGTCATCTGAACGGAATAGAAGAAATACAACAAGCTCCAACGTGCTATTGAATGAGAGCATATTGCGGAGCCACGGATGCTGTTGTCTCTGGATTGCATTATGCAGATACCATTACTGTAGTTCTGACTAACTTTGACTGCTCATATGTTGCTTGTAAGCTTCACGTTTGTACATTGGTAAGCAGTCCTTCGGACTCTGTCTGCTTGCTTACACCTGCATCTAACATTCCGTTTGCAGTTGAATGCTTATAATGTGAAGCTACGTCGCTGCGTCATCTTCACTGATTTCAGGGCTAGTGCACAACTTAAAAGACTTTAGTGCATCTGAGACTATTTTTGTTCTTTCTTGCCAACTCTGTCCTCTTCAGATGATGTTCACCGCTTGCAGTACAGCGAAAGATCTCTGGTTGGTCTGCTACATCGATCGTATGCTTTCATTGGATCATTCAGGAGATTTGTACATGAAGTATGTGTATGTGCATCCATTACAGTATTGATTAATTAGATAACTGATCTACATGCGAGAAGCGAAGCTCGCTCAATTCTCCAAAAATAAAGATGAAGCAGAAGCAGAAAGCGATTGGACGTTTGATTATGTTCATTCCCCCATTTGAATGGAGCATAAGTATTTGAATTAATACGTTTGCATCTGGGGGATGGTTGAAAAGTATACTGTACCCGGCTGCTAGGCTGATCGTTCTACATATTTGATTGCCTGCTCAGGACCGATCTTTGAAAATTACCGCACTTTCTGGGACGCGCATACGGGCAGGTTCAAAGACGCACGCGACTCAGTTTACAGATTCAGCGTCAGCTTTTTTTCTGCATATTCTAATCTACCAGTTGGTTCCCGAATTCTCCTCATTCTACAGTATTTCTAAAAAAAGGGTTTGCGCTGCCTCTGCTTGGTAGCTCTACACTTATGAACACGGCTTGGCTTCGTGCTTGTAGAGATAAGACTCCTTGATGCGTTCTCTTTTTGGGTTTTTTTCGGCGATGACGCCTCCAAGGAAGGAACGGTGTGGTCCTCCGGTTTGTGGCACCAAAGTAGTGCATAAGGTTTCCTTACGATGCAGGTGAAATATTATATGGCATTAGGTCATCCCATTCAAACGTGCCGCCGGTTTTATTTGAATAAAACAAAGAAGAGAATAGATTGAAAAGCGATATTCTAGCTTAAGCATTATTAAATCCCTCCTTCACCAGTGACCCGCTCGCAGTGCCCCGAAAGCCTTTGGATCTCTAGTACCTTTGATTTTTCAAGTGGGTGAATTGCTGTTGTTGCCAATTTCGGCAAATGACAAAAAATTGTAGCGTCTGCCGTCGGAGAGTACTCTCAACTGAATAGAACAGTTGTAATCGCATTGGCTTTATGGGCGCGATTGAACCAGCGTCTTAGTATTGTTTGTGTTCCAGCACTGATCTACAATACAGTTACTCGGGATTTGGCACTATAACGAGCAACGGTGGCCTCCTTGTAGTTGTGTGGTATCATCCATTTGTCGATCTGAATGCCGAGGAACAGGCAATATGCACCGACAGTGACGGTTTTGTTCTCTTTATAGAGCCGCTTAAAAGCCATATTGTGGGAATCCTTTGCTATGATGATCATCCAGGCTGGAGTGCGTTTTCACAGTCGTGAATGACATCTCATGCTGAGAACATTACTGCTAGAGGTGCAGAATAGGTACTGCGTTCGTGCTTCTACAAGAAAATAAGGTACCCATGCGCACACCTTGACCATCGTCAGTTTATCGGACATAACTTCGGCAGCAAACAGCAGGGATGTCAGACTCGCGGGGAAGCTTGACAAAGGTCCAGGGGTCCAGGCTCTGTGAACAGACATTCAGCGCTTGACTTCATCCTTCTTTCTTGTGCAGGATGAACATTATGGGACCATCCACGACAACAAATTTTTTCCTTTCTTCCTTGTACGGGCTACTGAACCAAATCATCTACCGTGTATTTTGAGAACACCCTCACACAAACTATGGTCCGGCGCAGGTCAAATTTGAGCTGCACACTTTCCTTTTATGACGTCTGATTTGAAAAACCGGCGCCGATTTTCACCACTCGGGCTTCTCTTCAATTTCTCGAGAACTTCTTCAGAGGCTAGGTTCGCCAAATTTCACAGATACACAGCTTAAGTACTAGCTTCCAAATGCTATAGTAGCCCGCTGCTCTACCCTCTTTGCTTTTCTGCTATTCCTCTATATGTAGCGGCCAGTTTGAATGGGATGACCTAATATAACCTACTTGTTATTTGGAAAGTAAAAGTTTTCGACATCAGCAAGTTCCTGAAGCACTCGTTAAAGCCGTTCAGTTGACGCACTCAGATTCTCTCTGCACTGCGGAGCGTTATAGAGACTCCACAGTCTCCCGTTGCTGCTGAAGTTCGTCAGAGATCGGCTCTTTAGCTACTGTTTCTCATTCTCTGTACGGACAACGCGACGAGGAACATCCGGAAAAAGCTCTTCCTGACGCTGGGATATGCTGACGATGTACTGCTGATAGAGTTAGAACGACACATCAACCACTGGCAGCGGACTGGCTGGCCACAGACTCAGGCTTTATATCAACAAAATGGAGTACAAGTGCACCGCCGCAACTACCGCGTCGAACGTGTTCGACGGATCACCCTCTCCAGAGCAAAGTTCCCATACCTCGGTTCTGCGATAGCGGCGGTCATAAATGCCTAGCTCGACACGCCGCAAGAATCAACGCTGCATGGAACAAATGGAGACTGTTACTGGCATCCAATGCGATAAGAAAATGCGGATACATGTAAAGTCACAGATCTTCACCTCAGTCTGCTTTCATGAAGGCTGGAACATATACGGCTAGACCGAGTTCAAAACGAAACCGTGCGAGTGAAGATGAAGACTGGCAACACTTTTGCTGCATCTCGTCTCCGCTTTTATGGTCACGTTCAGCGAAGACCTGATGCTGTCCAAGTCCTGTGACAAGATCAGCTTTGGTGAACCTCCAAAAGGCCGACCTAGAATGCGCTAGAAAGACAACCTTAAGATGGAAATGACTGCTGTTGTCCTGTCCGCAGCCGATGCATGGAACCGGCGCCATTAGAAAGCTTTGGTCAAGGAAGCGTCCCCGACAACAGTTGGACAAGAACGCTAGGGAGAAAAAAGGCGTCCAATTAGTAGAATGGATGCTCGGTCTAACTTGCATACATAGGAGACAAGATCGTCGCAGCATTGGGGCAGGCTGACGTTTGATGCACGAATACTATCGCTCGTAACCTTAGGCGGACAGGAGGAGAAAAACAGAAGTGTCATTTTTACTTCCGTATCTTGAGACAGCTGTAAACCCTATAAAAGTATATAATAACTCATACTAGATAACATTTCACAGACAAATCCAACTTCTTACTTTCAAGCATCGTCGGTGAAGCAATAAATATATTAACATTACTTTTTCACCGCCCCTGAGAAAAAAAATGGCCGTGAGGTTTTAAGGGATCTCAAGACAACAAAATTTCCGAAAGTGCTGAAACAAGGCGGCTACTGGCTGTCATCTGTATTCCCGTTGATTCGAGCTGCTTGGAGGGGAGAGGATCGACGGAGGGAGTAATGTGTCCACATGTCTCTGCAACGTGCTAAAGTTGCTCCACGGTTTCTCCGTGTTCGTGGGACACGATTCACATTACTTAGACCTTACAAAATGTGAAGGGTAGATGATCGTCCAGGTGTCCTTTTGCCGTCTCATTCCAGTAAGTAATCTCTCCTTTCCTCTGGTGTCCTCGAAATACGTGACGTCTTCTTCTCTTTTTCAGCGTTTGTTCCGCTCGATGGTGGGGTCCGCTCTTTCGATAGAACTACGCCACTTTTCCCGATTGAATGCCTGATCGGGGTGAATGCCGGCTATTTTTGAGTCGGTATGCTGCGTGTGTAGCCAGAGCTGTATGGGACGCCCTTTTGGCCGCTTTCCTGGTACCTCGAGTTTGAGAGCAGTTTTACGGACGGTGTCAGCCTTTGCGCGGAGCACGTGCCCAAACCATCGAAGATGCGTTTTACACGATTTCTCTGCTACGGGGGCTACACCATACTTCTTGCGCACGACATCGTTACAAATGCGGTCCGCTCGCGTGACGCCCGCCGTCCAACGCAACATCTTCATCATCACCATCACACATCAAGGCGAGCCTCAACTTCTTTGGTCGCGATCCTCGGCACTATAACGCGACAGGTCGGACGATAGTACGATAGATCGTTTACTCGATACGCTCTGGCATTTTCTTGTCGCGAAGGATCCCAGACATGGATCGCCATTTAGACCACGCCGCACTCATGCGCTCACTTCCGAGTTCAGACTGCCATCGGACGCAAGTGCTGATCCGAGATACTTGAATGTTTCCGTGCGCTTGAGAACCGTATCATCGATCTCAATGGAGCCCGGCTCTTTTGGATCGGTTGTTAGGTACTCGGTTTTGTTGACGTTCAACCTGAGTCCAAACTTCGCCAGACGCTCGGCCCAAGCTTGCACCTGCTGTTCCAGTGCGCTCTTGTCTTCACAAGCAAGCATCACATCATCAGCGTAAAGCAGGGTCCAAGGCACTTCTTTCTGAAGATTTCGTGATGTGGCATCCATGATGGCAGCGAAAAGAAGTGGGGAGAGCGCAGAGCCTTGATCTACCCCAACGGTGATGGCGAACTCCGTCGAGACACCCGCTGGTGAGCGAACTTGACTCCCTGGGCATGAGTAAAGGATGCGCACCCACTCAATTAGCTCTTCGGGCACGCCGTGCCGCCTCAAAGCGTACCATATAACATCACGTGGCACACGATCGAATGCCTTCTCCAGGTCAAGAAAGCTACATGCACGGGCTTTCGCTTCTGGCGGTGTTTCTCCAGCATTAGGCGAGCGGCATGTACGGCGGCGACGGTGCTACAACCCGCCACGAAGCCACACTGATTGGTGGAAAGCTGGACGATAACACGAACGCGGGCGTCAACAATTCGCTCGAAGATTTTCATAGTGTGCGAGAGAAGGCGAATCGGACAGTAGTTCGAGCATTATGCCGGGCTGCCCTTCTTTCTCCGAGTCTTGATCTTCACGCTCTGTTGCCGGCCCTTGGGCACCTTCTTCTCTTCGACGATCTGGTTCAAAAGTTTCGTCAACCAATCCGCAGAAAACCAGCGTTGTGACTTCCATAAATCAGCTGCGATGTCGTCGGTGCCTGTTACTGTGTCGGCTTTCATCTTCCTCAGAGTGGCTTCTGTATCCTGTACGGTGATCTTCTGAACGGGACCATATGTTGGCGCGGTACAGGGTATAAAGGGATGGGCGAATTCCACCGTTGAGATGCCCTCGAAGTATTCACGCCATCGTTGCAATACCCTTTTTCGGTCCATCAGAAGGTGGCCGTTATCATCACCTATGCCGAAAAACTTCTCAATGTTTTCGGTCTGGCGATGACGAGATTTGGCAAGTCCGTACAGGTACCGCTCA